AGTTAACTTTGTGTATAGTTTGGACACTTATTTTTGAATTAAGCCTAAAATAAAATTAAAGTTGTATTTTTTTTGAGAAAGATAAATTGAGAATCTCTGCAATATTTGATCAAAATTAATCGGTCAATGAAAAGAATATCGATAGTTATTAAAAAAAACATACAACTTATCAAATATTGATATATTTTTAAAGGAGACTTAATTAACAAAATACCATTAAGTTATAACTTATTTTTCAATTTGGCACCCAAACTTTTGTTGGTTCCAAGTTGATTTAGGAGTAATATTTCAGTTAAGCCTAAAAGAAAATACAATTGTGATGATCATCCAAGACTTAATGTAAATTTCATGCGTGAAACTGATTCTGTTGTCTCAAAAACCAAATTAAGAAAAAAAATATTAGTGGGGTTTTCCATTTCTAAATAATTAGTTAAAACCAACTAAAAGAGAAAAAAATTAAGGGCTTATGGAGTGATGTTTTCTCTTTAACAAAATCTTACTATGATTGTAATATGGGTCATGGAAATGGAACAACTCGGTTGGATTTGGTGGCCAACTGCCCAACACCACGGCACTCGCCATAATTCAAACTATATATATATATATATTATCCCATATCATTTGTCCTTAATTAATATTATATCTTGATTGATTAAATCCAAACATTTTAGAAAAAAAGGAAGGGAAGAAGATTTGCAGTTGTTGATGTTGTCGTCTCAGCTTTGCTTACTACAGACACAAGAACCTGAAGGAAGTTAGGCTGAGGGTTAGCTTTTCTCCAAGTTTCCCTCTTTATTCTTTTCACTTGGAATCAGAGCAAAGGTTTTTTTCAGTTGATTCTTGGTCACCATCTCCAACCCATCACCTTCCTCTCTGCTCTTCACTCCCTTCCTATATCTACTTTCCTTTTTCTTCATTCAAACACCATGGCTTTCCTCTTTTTCTGGGTTTAAGCCCTTGTTTTTGTGTTCTTCTTTATTGGTTTTGAGCCGCTGCGCATGCTTCTGGCATTTTGTTTCTCAACCGCTTCATATGATTGTTGTTTGCTCATGAAAGTCTTGCTGATGTCGTTTTCCCCTGTATAATATTTGTGATTCATCGGTTTCATGAGAATTGTGTTGAGGTGAGGAGGTATTGGTGCTATTAGAGTGGCTGAATTCATTTAGTTTTTGGAGTTTGTTTTGGAATCATGAATACTCGTTACTCGTTCCAACCCGATTCGTTGTGTGATTCGAGCGCCGCGGTCTCGTCGAATTCCCCCGGAGGAGAAGATAGGACGGCTGCGGCGGGTTCACTGAACAGGTCTCATCCTGCTGCGTCGTCTTCGTTCTTGATAAGGGCTGCGATACGGATGTCTAGAGCGAGGTGGTTTACGTTCTTTAGAAGAGTTTTTCACTACCAAAACGGATCGAGGTCCGACCTCGGGTCCAATCCTTTCAATTCCGGTACTTGGATGATGCTGGAGTTCTTGGCTTTGGTGATTCAGATTACCATCACCACATTCACTTTGGTCATTTCCAAGAAGGAGAGGCCTGTTGTGCCTATGAGGATGTGGATTGTTTGTTATGACATCGGTTGTGCCCTTAGTTTGTTACTTCTATACGGTCGCTACCGTCAACTGCACATCACGGGCCCTTCCGACATCGAGCAGCAGAGGACGAGTGAAGAATCGACGTAAGCTCCTTATCATTTGATTCAATCTTGCTGTTGTTGTTCATGTGTCGTTATTCCATATCATGTTAGTGTTGGAACCTGGAACATATATGCAAAAACCCCAAACTAAATGAGATGTAGTATGTTTAGGTGCTCACATTTGATGAACAAGTTCCGGACATCGCTAGAGCTGTTCTTCGCGATATGGTTCGTGATGGGGACCGTATGGGTGTTCGATTCTCGATTCGGTTCCTTCCACCGATCTCCGAACCTTCACGTGCTCTGCATCTCAATGCTAGCTTGGAATGCTCTGTGCTACTCTTTCCCATTCCTGCTGTTCCTACTCCTATGTTGTTGTGTGCCACTCATCAGCAGCGTCCTAGGTTACAACATGAATATGGGTTCCACTGATCGAGGGGCATCCGATGATCAGATCTCCAGCCTGCCTAGTTGGAAATACAAAGCAATCAACACCAACTCGGATCTAGATCATGCTCCGGACTTCACCCCGAGAAATGCAAAAGAAGATCCGGTAAGTCACATCGATTCCCATCGTTGAAAATTTTCACACATATATAGGAGGCTAACGGTGTTCATATTGTCATGTTGACAGGGATGCTGTATTTGCCTAGCAAAGTACAAAGACAAAGAAGAAGTGAGACAGTTGCCATGTTCACACATGTTTCACCTTAAGTGTGTGGATCAATGGCTCAGAATTATATCTTGCTGTCCACTTTGCAAACAAGAACTGGAGAGATAGAATTATTTCGAATTATTTGTTCTCCATACTTCATTCACTATGGTGTGATTTATTTTATCCGTATAATCACAAAGGATGTTTGAGTGAGTGTATATTGTTTTGTACACACTACTTAACTATTTTCCGATCTAACATTTTTTTTTCAGGAAAGAGAAGGAGGCGCACAGCAAGAGACGCACCTTAGCTGAGGAGAGGGAAGATGCTTCGCATGAAACGCACCTTCCATGAATGACACATCCCAGGGAATGCACCTCCCTTAAATGGCGCGTCGTAGATAACGCGCTTCCAATGTCCAACGGTTTTAGGTTTAGGGTTTTACGTTTAAGCGACTTTAGGAGTTTTTTTTTGTGATTTAGGGTTTCATATTTGAATAGTTTAGGGTTTTAAAAGAAGTTTAGGATTAAAATTGATTGTATGTTAGAATATTTGTGTTTTTAAAGTAGGGTAGGATTAAAGTTGATTTAATGTTAGATTGTAAGAAATAAACGTTAAACATTTAGTTTGAAAAAATTTATAGATATACGAAAGGGTCATCTTGTAAAATAAAAAAGTTGAAATCACATTAATTGAAATAAAAAGAAAATGAAATAACATAAGTTGAAATATTAGAAAATATGATTACATAAGCGGTGATCAACGGTTACGTGATGATGAAAGATATGAATAATTTTTCCTATTGAGGTTGGGGTTTTTGCAATGGCCACGTTTTAAATTTTGTCTTGACGTCTCTCGAATATCCATATCACAATGAATTTGAGTGGATTTTGGACGACATGGCTCCTTTAATAAGTCTGGATATGGTATAATTGGAAGCCAAGTTTGAACATCATTTGGATCTTTTTCATTACCTATGGGGGAAACTCATATTCATATATCATGAATACTTGTGAAAGTTGGTATACGAGATCCACATAACGCTTATAGTCTTGACGAGAAAATGAGCAAGTTGTTATGACATGATGCATGAATACTTCAAAGCTTGAAAAAACCCGCAGTCGCAACATCTATCTCGTAGATTAACTCTGAAAGAGTTAAATTCAATCCCTTGCAGAGGTCATGACATTTCTGTGACCCGAAATAATTCTTGAGTGCGAAAAAAGATTATTACAGACATTTTTGATGCTGCAACCTTTTACTGCATATTTGCTACTAATCGTGGGTGATAAACATGACCGTTTTGCATCCAACCAAATTGATTGCCAAACGAAAATGTCGTTTTAACCAAAGCAGTTACTGGTAAATAATGGGGGCCCTTTAAAGTTGAATTGATTGCCTCAACCAAATTGGTTGTTATATGTTCATATTGATATACACCCTAATTTTATTCGGCCACCGTTGAAACTAGTCGGGCAACTTTCAATATACTCCCTACATAAACCACCCAAATCATCATTTGACATACTAAAAATGGTTGTTCCATCGACCGGGAGCCTCAATTGCATTGAAACATTCTCCAGCGTAATGATACATTCCCCACATAATAGATGGAACGTGTGCGTCTCTGACCACCATCTCTCTATTAGTGCATAAATAAGGGCGGGTTCAAGTTTACAATCTCCTTCAATTTCCGCTAGGTAACCAAATCCAACCATAGATAAATAACGCCAAATACGTCTTGGTATTTTCATCTTCTTGTTGCGAATAAAAACTTCTAATATACGATCAGTTTCCTAATAAATAAATTATAACCATTAATATTTTAACTAACATTTTAAAACTATTTAAATAAATTCTAATAATTTAATTAATATATACTTGATTTCATAATATTCATAAATTTTAAAAAATATATTTCGTACTCTTACCGTATCGAAAAAATTAGTCGAAATATGATCAACATCTTATCGCAACATCGCGCCTTCCATTTTTTAACTGCAGTTAATAAATATTAACTAAAATAAACTTACAATTAAACTTTCAAATGTTTAAATAAAAAAAATAATAATAAAATAATACAAAATTTTTAAATAAAATAATTAATTACTAAAATAATAAAAATTTTGATAAATGAAAATTTTTATAAAAATACTTATACCTTAATTTATATAAGAAATAGATAGGAAGAATAGAAATTTTAATGTGATTTATGTGAGATGGAGAAGAGATTTATATAGGTAGCTCATTGGGGGATATAGGCGGAAAATAAAGGCGGGAATTCGGGGCAGAAAGGTGGGAAGACACACCCTAGGGGATACGCCTTCCAAGGATATTAGAAAATCCCTGTAAGGCGCGTCTAAGGAAATGTACCTTCCAAAAGTATCAGTATTCAATTAGTGTATTTAACCGATCGCGCCTTAGCTCTAAGGCATATTTCATCGGATGCGTCTTATTCTCTCGTGTTAGATCGAATATTATTTTTTAATTGGTGACTGACAGATAATTTTTTAGGGTGATTTTTTTATATAAAAAACCAAACTTTTCTACACGGAATAATGAATTTTAACCTTCAAATACCTTACGTATTTAAACTCATTCCAAGACGCAAACTTTAAACGATACCAAATATCTGCTGACTAATTGTTGAGATTAATCTAAATTCAGATTTGGAGTGCAGAAAAGTTTTGGGTTGGACCAGAAAATCAAGCAGCGTTTGGGGAAACTGAATCAAATAAAAAAGAAAAAATTGGGTCCACAATTGCGGCAAAATCTATGCACCAAATTTGTTGGCTTGGCAAGAAATGAGAATGGTACGGTGCGGATTGAGAGGCCAAATACTTACCAAGAAAGCGCAGCCGCTGCCAGTTTTTCTACCCGCACAAACTGCACTTGTATTGTCCAAATTGTTCTCTGCCTCCTCCTTTATATATATACCACCATCACCATCTCCGTCACCATCTCCGTCACCATCGTATCTTTCACTTCAGTTTAGTTCCTGCTTCTTGATCGGCACAGCCATGAGTGACACAAAACCCAAGTTTTTGGAGGTCTACTCTGCACTCAAATCAGAGCTTCTTGATGACCCGGCTTTTGAGTTTACCGATGATTCTCGTCAATGGGTAGAGCGTGTAATTCCCTCTCTCTCCCTCTATCCCTTTTTCTTTGTTTGATGTCAATTGTTTTGCGTTGAGCTTCTCCTGTTCTTAAATCTAAAGCTGTACCCTTTGTGGGTTTTTTTGTTTGGATGCTCTTGGTTTCAAATATTAGGTACCAAAGTTCTTTTTTTGCCGCATTAATTCTCTCTGTGTGTGTGGTAGTCCTGGAAAGTTGAGATTTTTAGGTGAACACAAAATGAAAAAGACAAGTGTTTTTAGCTGATTCTTAAGAATTTATCCTGGTTCAGCGACTGTATCAATCCCCCATTAATTAGTTTTATCTTTTAAGCTTTGTATAGTTTCTGTTCCATGACTTCATGTCATCCCTCTCCTTTATTTGTTGGTAGTTTGTTATCAATAAGTGTGAATCATGATAGTCTGTTTCTCCTTTGCTGCAGATGCTAGATTACAATGTACCTGGAGGTATGGATTCGGTTAATGTTCGAAATGATAATCGATAAGTGAATGGTGTTTTTTATAAGGATGTTCACTGATTCTGTTGCTGGCAGGAAAGCTGAACCGAGGCTTGTCCGTCATCGATAGCTACAGGTTGTTGAAAGATGGGAAAGAGCTGTGTGATGATGAATTGTTTCTTGCATGTGCCCTTGGTTGGTGCATTGAATGGGTGTGTTTTAAGGATGCATAATCATCATTTTCATCGATAGCTGCAACAGTTGTGTTGCTTTTGTTGTGTACTGGAATCAACTTTTCCTTTCTAACATTGAACAGCTTCAAGCATATTTTCTTGTTCTTGATGATATCATGGATGGCTCTCATACACGCAGAGGTCAACCGTGTTGGTTCAGGCTTCCTCAGGTATGATGTAATAATGTGTTCCTCCTAATGTTACAACAAAATAATGTTAGTTCTTTCGTAATTTTGAGGGATACATCGGTTTGCAAACCGGTTGAGCCTCTCAATGGAGTTAGACACTTGATATAGCCGGTAGTTAGCTTTGTCAATCATGTGGAAATTAACTTCTGAAAGTTTCATGGTAGGTTGGATTGACTGCTGTGAACGATGGGTTGATTCTACGCAACCAAATCTTCAGAATTCTCAAGAAGCACTTTAGAGGAAAACCTTATTATGTTGATTTGCTAGATTTATTCAACGAGGTAATTTTGTTGTTTGCACCGGCTGCAGACAACCGATGTCCACTCACTTTCGATATAATCAGGTTCTACTGATGTATCTGAACTATTTTTTATATAGGTGGAATTTCAAACGGCCTCAGGGCAAATGATAGACTTAATTACAACACTTCAAGGAGAGAAAGATCTCTCAAAATACTCATTGCCAATGTAAGAGAGTATTCGAATTTGTTGCATTTAATGAACTTCAGTGCAAATAGTACTATTTTCAACACTTTTTAACACATCAAATGGTATATTTCATGCAGCCACCGCAGGATCGTTCAGTACAAGACGGCTTACTACTCATTTTACCTTCCAGTGAGTAACTTTCTATGTTATAAGTCATTTTCCCCATAATTTGCTTCTAGCATGCATCTTGGTCATTCATTTTTTAGGCATTTAACTTCATACATATTGCCATTTCATTGTATCAAACAATGCTACCATATTCTTGGACAAGTTATAACTGTTACTAACTAAACTGTACAGTTTTGTATCACGACATGTTTAATCTTCTTTGACATCTCATTGCTTCTTTTTTCTCCACGAAAACCAGGTTGCATGTGCATTGCTTATGGCAGGGGAGAATCTTGACAATCATTCTGATGTGAAGAATGTCCTTGTTGAAATGGGGACCTATTTTCAAGTACAGGTGACCACTAATTTCCAGATTTGTTTTCCTGTTCGTTCTAAACGGAGCTTTCTAAAATAAATTTCTTTTGTTGGGGAAGTATCTCTGCCATCCATTAGATAATCAAACATCTTTTCTTCTTTGGTGTTCGCCTAAAGAACTTTTCATTTTGTAGGATGATTTTCTAGATTGTTTTGGTGATCCTGAGGTGATTGGCAAGGTGAGAATCGGGGCACTGCTAATAATATGCAGTCTGTGTCTGGTAATGCAATTGGTTTGAGTTGTTTACTGTTTTTTTCTACCCTATTAGGTCGGAACTGATATCGAAGACTTCAAGTGCTCTTGGTTGGTTGTAAAAGCTCTGGAACGTGCTAATGAGGAGCAAAAGAAGTTGTTATATGTAAGCAGGAATATATATATATATATGTATTTACGCATTACGCAATAGTTTGGAGTTGCTTTACATAAACGTGTTTGATTTCCAGGAGAAATATGGAAAAACTGATCCAGCATGTGTTGCCAAAGTGAAAGAGCTCTATCAAACCCTTGATATTCAGGTTTGTCCTGGTCCGATCTGCTTATGCTCTGCATTCATGCGATATTCGTTTGGATGATAGATACATGGTACTCTACTTGCAGGGTGCGTTTGCGGAGTACGAGAGCAAGATTTACGAGAAGATGACGAAACAAATAAAGGGTCATCCGAGCAAAGCGGTACAAGCTGTGCTGGAATCATTTCTGGCAAAGATATACAAGAGGCAAAAATGAGAAAAACGCAAAGAAGAATAGACCTAGCAGACTATGCGGTTCTAATCTATTTAGTATTAGTATTGTGGGGGTGGAATAAGTAAAGGTCCAAGTAGATAGTGACCCTGTGACATGATGAATCATTCTCTGATGGATTTGTAGAGTGAAGTTAAACAACGAATAAAATATAATTTGCGTCTATTAAAGATTACAAACATCAAGCATTCATCTCTCTCGATATCAAAATATAAGCTCAAATTCGACTTGATATATTCGAGCTCGGTTACTTATTGTTTTTTTTAGATGAATAAATGCATTTATATGCCCAAACAAAGCTACAACCAATACTTGAACCTAACAACCAACCAGCAGAGGCTCACTCACCCCCAAGCTATACAAGAATCCCTATAAAAAGTATCCCCACTATACATTCTCTTACCCCACAATTTGAACTTCATCATCTCTTTCACCTGGTCAACCATACCAACAACAGTACACAGATTCCCTCGAAAAACCTTGTAATTCCTTGCCTTCCAAATCACATCAATGCAACAGCTCCAAGCCAGTTTCAAAACCCAAGCCTTCAAAGATTTTCCTTTAAGCCTGCGACAAGCCCAACTAAGCTCATCACTCCACCCTAGAACAATCTTGTTTTCCCCACAGCAAGCCGAAACACTACTCCAAACAAGTCGAGAGACCTCACACTTAAAGAACAAGTGGTCCCGATTCTCATTCTCCTTCATACAAAGACCACACACCCCATCCGCAGTCAAACCAAAAGAAATAAGCCTACTCCTAGTAGGCAACCTGTCCAAAATCACCATCCACGAAATGAGAGCATTTTTTGGGATGTGCCTCGAATGCCAAATCAACCTCTCCCAGGGAACCTTTTCCTTCCTACACCGAACCTCCTGTCACATCATAGCCACCGTTCTCAAAGACAAATACCCATTCGAAGCAGCCTTAGCCCTAAGCTGCAAAACAGCCCTCCAGGTCCAACTACTATTCTGGCCACAAGCAATGTCCCAAAAGGAATCATCCTTAATAATATAGGCATACAACCAGGCAACCCAAACAGAACCTTCTTTAAGCAAAATCTTCCTGATAAGGACCAGAAAACAGGCTCGATTCCAAACTTTAATGCTCTTAAGGCCAAGACCGCCTTCAGACTTAGGAGAAGAAATGACACTCCACTTCACTCTGGCCTCTTTCGCAGGCTTGTTTCCCCCTTCCAGGAAAACCTCGAGCAGAGTTGATTAATAAGATCAATAACCGCACTAGGGAGAGCCAACTGGCTAGTCCAAAAATTTTGAATTCCATACACCACAGGTTGAATAAGTTGCTATCTACCAGCATAAGAAAGGGTCCTAGCCTTTCACCCCTGTAACTTTGCAGCAACAAAATCAATCAGGGGAGTTCAATCCTTAACCGAGAGTCTCTTAGTAATTAAAGGGACCCCGAGATACCTCACAGGTAACTTCCCTCGGACAATACCAGTTATGTCAAGGATCTCAGAAAGAGCAGCCTCACTAACTCCCGAGGAGAACAATTCAGATGTACTAGGATTGATACACAGCCCCGAGAAGCTACAAAACAGCTTCAAAATCTCCCAAATCCCCACAATCGAGTCCAAAGTCCCCTTAGTGAAAACTAAGAGATCATCAGCAAAGTAAAGATTGGTGAGACTGATCCTGTGACACTTGGGATGGAAACGAAACACCCCATGCCCAGCAGCCCTATCCAGAAGCCGAGAAAGAACATTTATGACAATAACAAACAGATAAGGGGACAAGGGGTCCCCCTGACGCACCCCTTTAGTCCCATTAAAAAACCCAACCGAACCACCATTCAAAGAAATAAAGAACTTAGGAGTGGTAACACACTCCCTGATCCAACCAGTCATCACCCTAGGCACTTCTAAGGCCTTCAAAACAGTCAACAAAAATTGTCAATTCACAGAGTCAAACGCTTTCTGTAAATTAAGCTTAAGAGCTCATCGGATTACCGATTGTTTTGCTCAAGCTTAATTATTCAAAATAAAGAAAGTACTAACTCGAAACTGATGTAACTAAAAATAACGCTATGATGGACTTGAATTTAATACAAGAATTCTAATGAGATTAACAATTGGAGATGAAGTTTTTGAAAATAGAATCAAGAGGACTAAATTACAAATGTATAAAGAGTACATGGACCTAGAGAATATTTTAACCCAAGTAATATTCCTTTTTCTCTTCCGTAAAACACCTAGGTAGAATGATAGATGTGAAATGAATGAATGAGATTTAGATGGCGGGTTCTAAGCAATATGTAGAGTGATTACCGATAAGACAAAATATAGAAATACTAAATGGTTACAAAAATTAACTATTTTTCGTTCCTCACATTGGTATTTCTTTCTCCATTGGAATCATATGACAAAAAAAAAAAAACTACCAAACAAAGATAAAGGAATGGGCGAAACAAAGCCTCCGACGATGGTGCTAAAGGGCAAGCAGCTAAACGTGACGGAACTGAGCTTGGAGGAAATCAAGAAGCACCCCACGGTGCATGTGTCGCCGAGGGCGGCCAAAACGAGCAAGACGTCGACACCGTCGGGGAGGTCCAACTGCCTATGCTCCCCCACCACGCACGCCGGTTCCTTCAGGTGCCGACACCATCGGGTTTCCGGCATGTCGAGGGGCGGCTCCATCGGATCTAACCTGTCTAACCTTGCTTTGGTCCACCATCACCACAAATCACCTCAACCCACCACTGATAATCTCCAATCTCAGAAAAGCTTTAACAATATATATATATATATATATATATATATATATGCACACCAAAATATTATTATTATTTTTGCAATGTACATGTAATCTACTCCTCAAATGGACCAACTTTTGCTCCATCTTACACTAGAGTTCTAATATTCAAGTTGTTGGCATTGCATGCCTCTAAGGAGCCTGTTTTTATTACATGATATTAAAATCTTGTTCATGTTATTTGATAAAATTTATTATTTGATTGTAATATTTAAAAAATTAAAAAAAAAGTCGCTTATTGTACTTTTTATTATTATTTTATTACATGCTATTAAAATCGAATACGTGATTTAACGTCGTCTGTTGTAATTAACTCTTTCATCAATTTTTTTATTTGTAATGTATTTACCATTTTTCTGTTTTAAATGAACTAATTCCGAAATTTCCTATTTTTCATGTCTGCAAATTATTGAAATCCCCACTTCCTTTTCAGTTCCACTCCTCAAACGCACTCTCCTCATAGACAAGGTAAAAATACTTTCTTTTCTCCTATTCGTTTTTTAATCCGTTTGTTTCCCGAGAAAATTGACGAGAGACCTTTTTGAATCTCTGTGAGCTTAGAGTAGGTAGCTTTATTAAACTTTAAAATTACGCTGGCAACTCGGTTTGTTTGTAGAGTTTTTGGGGGATTGATTAGATTGGATTCCGACGAGGGTCAGTTTGTGGTTTGGTTGGTTGTGTTGAACGAAAGCATACTATTATGGCATTGCAAGCAAGATAATTGGGGTGAGGCACTAACGAAACCGGATCATATTCCGAAAACAAAATGCATTAAAGAGTTTTGACTAGATTACCAAAAACTTTCAAAAGAGGCACCCAAGTAAATGTGGGAACTTTCAAAATAAAATCATACTAGCAATTGAAATTCATATCAGAACAGTTTAGTCAACTTCCTCCATCTTGCTGCCTTCGGCATCTGCATCCTCCAATGGCGGCATATCGGCATCAGCGTCAGCGTCACCAGCATCCTCATCCATGCTCAAACCAAGTTTCAACATCCTGTGGATTCTGTTGCCAAAGGTGTTGGGGTCATCGAGGCTGAAGCCAGAGCCGTCTCGAATAGCAACAGAACGAGGTCTTTCATTGACTTGTTGTTCTGGTCAGCATCAGCTCTCTTTCTCAGCTCTTCCATGATGGGATTCTTAGGGTTGGTCGATCTCCATGGTCTTCTTGCTTGACATATATCCAGCCATGCTTTTATCCCTCAAAGCTTGAGCCTTCATGATCCTTTCCATGTTGGCAGTCCAACCATACTCACCAGTGATCAAACAACAAGGAGAATCGACCACACGGTCAGATACCACGACCTTCTCCACCTTGATAACCTTGCAGAGACCATCGAATTTTTCCTTCAAAGCTTCCTTCTTTTACTTCTCATCTTCACTCTCATCGAGTTTCAGACCTTCTTTAATTGCGGACACGAGCTTTTTACCCGCGAATTCCTTGAGCTGACCATCAGCATACTCTTCAACTGCATCAACCATGAAGAGAACCTCATAACCCTTCTTCTTCAACTTCTCAAGGAATGGAGAGTTCTCGACAGCCTTTTTACTTTCACCGGTGATGTAATAGATGTCATTCTGACCCTCCTCCATTCTGGTCACATACTCCTTCAAGCTGGTCATCTCATCGCCACTCTTGGTGGAGTTGTGGCGGAGCAATTCAGCAATCTTGTTTCTGTTTTGAGAGTCCTCGTGGATACCCAGCTTGAGGTTTTGGAGAAGGCCTCATAATCCTCTTTGTTCTCGGCAATTTCAAAGAAGAGCTTGATGCACTTCTTCACCAAGTTCTTGCGAATAACCTTGAAGATCTAGTTCTGTTGTAACTTTTTTCTAGAGATGTTGAGAGGAAGGTCCTTCGGAATCGACAATACCCTTCACAAAGCCAAGGAATTCTGGGATCAGCTCTTCACAGTTGTCCATGATAAACACGTCTAACATAGAGCTTGATGTTGTTGGGCTTTTTCCTAGTGTCAAAGAGGTCAAATGGCGCCCTCTTGGGAACAAAGAGAATAACCTTGAACTCGAGCTGTCCCTCGACCGAAAAGTTCTTGACAGCCAAATGCTCTTCCCGATCATTCGTAAGACTCTTGTAGAATGCAGCATATTCCTCCTTGGTGATCTCCTGCGGCTTCCCCATCCAAATCGGCTTCTGCTTGTTCACCAAAGACCACTCGTGCGAGACCTCCTTAATCTTCTTCTTTTTCTTCTCTTCCTTTTCCTTTTCCTCATCTACCTCCTCCACTTTACCCTCTTCATCCTTTTTATCATTCTCGTCCTCGTCGTCGGAAATCTCTTTCTCGACAGTCTTCTCAATCCACAGGGAAATAGGATAGCTAATGAACTCAGAGTGCTTTTT